CCTGTAGTCCCAGCTACTTGGGAGGCTGAGGCAGGAGGATTGCTTGAACCTGGGAGGCGGAGGTTGTGGTGAGCCAAGATCGTGCCACGACAGAGTGAAACTCCATCTCATCAAACAAACAGATAAACCAACTAAACTGCATTCCTGGGTGAATCCTTCTCCTAGCCCTGTCCCTGACAACCTCTGTGACATTGGCATTTGACTCTCCCTGCCTGTGCTGTGACTATAAATGGCAAAGTCTCAGGTAAATGTACAGACATCCCTGGCCCCTTTTTAGTCTGACTACCCTACCTGCCCACACATCTTCCTCACCCCTCCCAGCCCCACACTCTCTATGGCTTCCAGTGTTCTAAGTAGAAAATCCATCTTCTTCCTGCCCTTGGCATTTGAGGCTCCGGAAGGAATGTGCCTCTGATGGTACTGTTCCAGGTGAGAGCTCAGTTCGGCCGGGCGCGGTGGCTCCCGCCTGTAATCCCAGCACTTTGGGAGGCCGAGGTGGGCAGATCCCCTGAGGTTGGGAGTTCGAGACCAACCTGACCAACATCGAGAAACCCTGTCTCTACTACAATTACAAAATTAGCCAGCTGAGGCAGGAGAATCACTTGAACCTGGGAGGCAGAGGTTTTGGTGAGCCAAGATCACACCATTGCACTCCAGCCTGAGCAACAAGAGCAAAACTCTATCTCAAAAAGAAAAAAAAGCCCAACTCATGGTCCCACTGCCACCACCACTGCCACCACCACAAGGAGAGCCCTCCCAGATACTGCCCATTCATCTAAGCCACATGCATTAACTGAGCACCTGTGGTATACACCCTGGGTCTGCCCTGAAGCTACAACATGACCAGGGCAGATCAGGTCTGGTCCCAGAGAGGCTGTCAAACCTCTGGATGAGAAAAATAACGGGCTAATCCCACAAGACAATGTGGAAATCAAACCTCTGGGGCTGGCTGGGTGCAGTGGCTCACATCTATAACCCCAGCACTTTGGGAGGCTAAGGTGGGAGGATCGCTTGAGCTCTGGAGTCCGAGACCAGCCCGGCCAACATGGTGAAACCCTGTCTCCACTAAAAATACAAAAATTAGCCAGGTGTGGTGGTGGGCACCCATAATCCCAGCTACTCCGGAGGCTGAGGCAGGAGGATCACTTGAACCGGGAGGTGGAGGTTGCAGTGAAACCTATTACGCTACTGCACTCCAGCCTGGGCAACAGAGTGAGACGGCTTCATAAAAAAATCCCTGGGGTCTGGATGGGGAAATGGGCAGGTACAATGCATGTTCTTGGTTTGCTTGTTTTTTTGAGACAGAGCTTCACTCTGCCACCCAGGCTGCAGTGTAGTGGCGTGATCTCGGATCACTACAACCTCCACCTCCCGGGTTTAAGCAATTCTCCAGCCTCAGTATCCTGAGTAGCTGGGGCTACAGGAGCCTGCCACCATGCCCGGCTAACTTTTTTTTGTATTTTAGTAGAGAAAGGGTTTCACAATGTTAGCCAGCATGGTCTTGATCTCCTGACCTGGTGATCTGCCTGCCTCAGCCTCCCAAAGTGCTGGGATTACAGGGGTGAGCTACCACGCCCAGCCGGTATAATACATGTTATACCCATGTTTGTGGGAACTGGAAGGAGTGGGTGGGTGGGAAGGCTTCCTATCTGAAGCTGAGGTTTTGATGAGGATGTGACGGAAGAATAAAGGAGGGAATTGTCCGGGCAGTGGGGACAGCAAGTGCAAAGGCCCTGAGGCTGCCAGCATTCTGGAGGATCAGCCCAGGAAGCCATGTGAGTGAAGCTGAGTGAGTGATGGGGAGATGAACAGAACGGAGGCAGGGGAGGCAAGACCGGGCATGGTGGCTCACTCCTGTAATGTCAACACCATGGGAGGCCAGGGCGGGCAGATCACCTGAGGTCAGGAGTTTGAGACTGGCCTGGCCAACATGGTGAAACTCCATCTCTACTAATAGTATAAAAATTAGGCCAGGCACATTGGCTCATGCCTGTAATCCCAGCACTGTGGGGGGGTCGAGGCAGGTGGATTACCTGAGGTCAGGAGTTCAAAACCAGCCTGGCCAATATGGTGAAACCCCATATATACTTTTTTTTTTTTTTTTGAGACAAGAAACCGTGGAACATATTTACTAAAAATACAAAAAATTAGCTGATTGTGGTGGCTGATGCCTGTAATCCCAGCTACTCGGGAGGCTGAGGCAGGAGAATCACTTGAACCCGAAAGGCAGAGTTTCCAGTGAGCTGAGATCACACCACTGCACTCCAGCACGGGCAACAAAAGTGAAACTCCGTCTCAAAGAAACAAAGCCAAAAGTTAGCTGGGCATGGTGGCACATGCCTGGTATCCCAGCTACTCTGGAGGCTGAGGCAGGAGACTCCCTTGAACCCAGGAGGCGGAGGTTGCAGGGAGCCTAGATCACACCACTGCACCCCAGCCTGGGTGACAAAGCGAGACTATCTCAAAAAAAAAAGAAAAAAGAAAAAAGAAAAGGAGGCGGGAATTGCAGAGACTAGGCTCTGCGGGGACAATTATGAGCTTATTCCTAGGAAGGCTTGGCATGGCAAGCAGGGACCCCTTTCCCGGCCAGGCTCAAGGCGACGTGGCTCTGCTGCCCCCTGGTGGTGAGGGACGCAGCCTGCTGGCCTTTCTAAATCCCAGACACTTCCTCCCTCCCCTCCCAGTTAAACTGGTCAAAGCTGCTCAGAGGCCTCCCTGTAACCTCCACCTCCTGGGTTCAAGTTCAAGGGTCCCTGCCTTCATCAGGTCCTCACCTGGGGTGGAAGCCAGGGATTCAGACAGAGCCACATCTGGCCTGAAAGCTTCCTACAATGCTCCTGATAACACATTCTGATGTCCTGTACCCCCGTTTTTGTCACTAAATGAGGGTGACGGCAGTCTCTGTTACCCACTGGATGCCCCGACTTGGTCCTGGATGTTGTCCTGCCCACCTCCTTGTCTCTGGCCACCTCCATTCCTGGCCCCAGCTGATCTTCCCCCCCGCCACCCCGCCCGAGGCAGACACAGAGGCTTAAAAATAATCTCAGGCTGGGTGCAGTGGCTCACACCTGTAATCCCAGCACTTTGGGAAACCAAGGCGGGTGGATCACCTGAGGTCAGGATCAGCTGAGGTCAGAAGACCAGCCTGGCCAACATAATGAAACCCTGTCTCTACTAAAAATACAAAAATTAGGCCAGGCTCAGTGGTTCATGCCTGCAGTCCCAGCACTTTGAGAGGCCAAAGTGGGAGAATTGCTTGAGGTCAAAAGTTTGAGGCCAGCCTAACCAACATGGTAAAACCCTGTCTCTACTGAAAATACAAAAATTAGCCAGGTGTAGTGGCGTGTGCCTGTAGTCCCAGCTACTTGGGAGGCTGGGGCAGGAGAATCACTTGAACCTGGGAGGCAGAGGTTTCAGTGGAGATCCCACCACTGTACCCCAGCCTGGGCAACAGAGCAAGATCCCATCTCAACAACAACAACAACAAAAAAAAAATAGCTGGGCATGGTGGCACACCTGTAGTCTCAACTACTCAGAGGGGCTGAAGCTTGAACCTGGGAGGTGACGGTTGCAGTGAGCCGAGACTGTGCCACTACACTCCAACCTGGGCAACAGAGTGAGCCTCTGTTTCAAAACAAAAACAAAAACACCTCAGTCCTGTCATAGGACCTTTGCACATGCAGCTCCCACTGCCTGGTGCCAGTCTTCCTTTAGCTGTGCCCAGCCTCGGCTAAGATACCACCTCCCCAAGTGGTCCCTACCTGAATACATCTTGCTTATCCATTCATTCTATCACGCAATTCCCCAAGCTGACTGGGAAGCCACTGATGGAGGGACTCCGTTTATCTTAGCAGTGCCTTTAGTACCTGGACCTCAGTACATGTCTCATAAGTGCTTGTTGCCCGAATGAAGGCACCTCCCTGTTGCCCAGCACCCAAAGGCGGGCTCCATATTGTTCTTTTTTCTCCCCACCAGAGGTCTGTGGATGGCCCAGCATGGTGGCTCATGCTTGTAATCCCAGCACTTTGGGAGGCTGAGGTGGGCAGATCAGTTGAGGTCAGAGGTTCGAGATACCTGGCCAACATGGTGAAACCCCATCTCCACTAAAATACAAAAATTAGCCATGGTGGCAAGTGATTGTCATCCCAGCTACTTGCCAAGATGGCGCCACTGCACTTCAGCCTGGGGGACAGCGAGACTCCGTCTCAAAAAAAAAATGTCTGTGGAAAGATTAAAGCAGCTCATTCAAACTAAAGTGTAAATGGGTAAATGGTTGATGGACCACCTAATTCTAATAGACACCATTGACCTCACATCTGTCCCTCCCTAAACTTTTGCCCAAACCATGAAAGGAGATCACCAAACTCCCCTGTCCTGAAACCTGGCTGGTCACAGAGTGGCTCAAACCCTCAACATACCCTGGTGCCAAAGTTCGCCCTGACGCTTGGCCCCAGGGGACGGACTGAATCAGGAAAACTGGCATCTTCTCTCTGAGCCTCAGTTTTCCTAATGGAAAAGTGGGGATCAGGAAGGGGTTATGGGGCACTCAGTCCCCTTGGTTCTTTCGCCCTGCGCCTCTTAGGTGAAGCTCAGTTCACGGGGCTCTTGTTGGTGGCCTCTCAGCCCTGGGTGTGCATGTGTATTTCGAGGGAGGAGCTTTCTCCCTGAGGTCACCACCCAGGAGTCCGGGCCCATTTCAGCAGGGAGTACCCTGAGCAGCTTGGGAATCTGGCACCTGTCTCGGGGAAGTCCTTGGACAAAGCTTAAGTTCTTCGCTTCCATGGCCACCTGTTAGATGCCAGCCTGGCTGAAAATGGAATTTTCCCTTTAAGCCCCTAGAACGGATCGCAGTGCCATTATGTGGAGGGGTAAACTGAGGCCCAGAGAGGCGATGTCACCCACCCACGGTACCTTAGGGAGAGTGACGAGTCTGGAGGGTTTCCGAGGCTCTGGGGTGCCAGGGCGAAGTCTGCGCCCCGCCCACACGCGCTGTCACTTACCTCCAGGGGTGGAGGCCCAAGGAGGGGCTACAGGGGCTGCAGGGGCTGCTGGGACCCAGCAGGGACGGGCTCTGGCTGCTCGGAGACAGACTGCAAAGAAAGAGGCCGGGGACGGTGAACTGGCGGTCGCCCCTTCGTGCGGCCGAATCCGGATCTCCGGAGGGGGGCTGCGGTTCCCTCAGGGAGGAGGGGCCCAAGACCCGGGATTCTGGTTTCAGCGCAGGCCGTGAGGGCGGGGCCAGACCGACGGCCCGGGAGGGCTCCCCGGAGGCGGTGGTGCGTTTCTGGGCGACACGAGCAGAGACGTGGGGGAGGGTGGCTGTCGTCCTGTCCTCCCGCGACCCCCCGCCCTGCCCCGCCCGACACTCACTCGAGGGTCAGCGCCGGGATGTGCAGCTTGTCCCTGCGCGCCTTCATGCCGGGGCCGAGGCCGCGTGTGTGCGGCCGGCGATCGACGCCCCCTTGGAGGCCCCCAGAACCCCCGATCGCGGCGCGATCGGACCGACGGATGGACACACGGACGCAGGGACCGACGCCTGGCGGGTGCGGCGGACTGGACGCGGGGGCTGGGCCGGGGGGGCCGGGCTGGCTCCGCCTCGGGGCGGGGCTCGGAGCTCCGCACCTGCGCGCAGGCCGGGCTCGAAGGCGGGGGGCGCCGCGGGAGAGGGGGCCGCGGGCGGCGGGATCTGCCGCAGGGACGCCGAGGCCGCCGGGTCCGGAGCCCCGAGCCGCGTCCCGGAAGGGAAGGGCGGTCACTGGCTCCGCGGTCGGCGCGATTGCTCCACGGCCTGACCCCGCCTCTCCCCGCCCTGGCCCGGCCTCAGCCCTCGCCCCAGCCCAGGGGCTCTCGGGGCGCCGGGATCTGAGCGCGCGCCGCCCCTACGCCCCCACCCCGCATGCCCGCCGGTCGCTCGGCACTGAGGTCCCGGCCCCGCTCGGGTCTCCGCATCGCCGGGCACACTAGAGGCCCTGACCACACCTCCAGTTCCCGGCTTCCAGCTGTTCCCTCTGCCACGAAGGTTGTCCCCCTCACCCACATATGAGTCCAGCCCCACCCGCCCCTCCTCCGCCAAACTGTCCTTGCACCCCCACCAGCGCCAGGCGCCTCCAGCCCTGTCCTCCCTCCCTCTTAGAGCAAACCCCACAGTCTGGGGGTGTCTGTGTCTCACTCTGGTCATCTTGAGGTCCGGGGGGACCCAGTGGGGCATAGGGAAGGTGTTAGGGAGTGGACATTTCTTGTGGAGTCTTTGTCCTGCCCCATGGCCCAGGACTTTGCCCTCTGCAGTCCTCATTGATTCCCGGTCCAACACTGCCCACAGGTTGGGCCAACACTCTGCCCACAGCTTGGGCCAAGGCTGGAAACAGTGCCTGCCCTCAGGGCAATGTCTGAGTCCCGGGCAATCCCCAGTAATTTACTGGGGCCTTCAAGCGCCTCCCGGCCAAGTGCATCATCCCCACTCCAACAGGAGCAGATGGCCTGGGCTTGGGGTCCACTCTGACCCCAAAGACCTCTTCCTTCTGTCCTTCCAACCTCCTCTCCACTCACTCCACTCAGCTAACCTTATCTTTACGCTGTTCTTCTAATGCCAAGCGTACTGGCACCCCAGAAACTTTGCCCACGCTGTTCCTGCTGCCTGGAGTGCCATTCTCCCCAGATTCCCCGCCCCCCAGCTCCTCCTCTTCCAGATCTCGGCCCAAAGGTCACTTCCTTCAAGAGGCCCCAGATCTTCAGGATCAAGCCACCCCCAGCGCCTCTCCGTCTCTTTCTCTGGTTAATCTCTCTCCTGTGTACAAAACTTCAACCATTGCTCTGAGAGTGAATTCTCTGTATCCTTTCTGCCTTCAGCAGGACCCAGTGTACAGTAGGTGCTCACAAAAATGTTCATTGAGTGATTCATTCTCACCCCCAACTCAGGCAAAAGCAGCCCCAAACGTGGGGTATCCACACTCACTCACGTCCAGACCATGAGTTCAAGGTAAACCCCTCCCCAGCCTGGGCTTTGCTTTCTTTCATCTGTAAATGAAGGAAGGCATTGAACAAAAATGTTCTCTAAGCTTTGGGGATAAAAAACGGTAACCTGGACTGGGCACGGGGGCTCATGGCTGTAGTCCCAGCAGTTCGTGAGGTTGAGGCAGGCAGACTGCTGAGTCCAGGAGTTTGAGACCAGCCTGGGCAATATAGTGAGACCCTGTCTCTACTAAACATACAAGTCGGGTGTGGAGGCTCCTGTCTGGAGTCCCAGCTACTCTGGAGCTGACGGGGGAGACTCTCTTGAACCTGGTAGGCAGAGGCTGCAGTGAGCCATGATTGCACCACTGCACTGCAGCCTGGGCAAAACAGCAAGACCCTGTCTAAAAAAAATAAAAATAAAAATAAAAAAATAAATAAAAGCCAATCCACAGAAACACTGATGTGACCCTGAGAGATGAGTTTCTTTTCTTTTCTTTTGCTGAGACAGAGTTTCACTCTTGTTGCCCAGGCTGAAGTGTAGTGATGCGATCTCAGCTTACTGCAACTGGGTCCTGGGTTCAAGTGATTCTCCTCCCTCAGCCTCCCAGCTAGCTGGGATTACAGGCACCCATCATGCCCAGCTAATTTTTTGTATTCTTAGTAGAGACAGGGTTTCACCGTGTTGGCCAAGCTGGTCTCGAACTTCTGACCTCAGGTGATCCACCTGCTTCGCCCTCCCAAAGTGCAGGATTACAGGTGTGAGCCATCGTGCCTGGCCTATTTTTTTTTTTTGAGACAGAGTCTCACTCTGTTGCCTATGTTAAAGTGAAATGTCGGGAGCTCTGGCTGGCTCACTGCAAGCTCCGCCTCCAGGGTTCGAGTCAATCTCCTGCCTCAGCCTCCCGAGTAACTGGGATTGCAGGCGTGCAGCACCACTTCCGGCTGAGTTTTTTGTATTGTTAGTAGAGACAGGCTGGTTTTATTTATGTTGGCCAGGCTGGTTTCAAACTCCTGGCCCCAAGTGATCTGCCTGCCTCAGCCTCCCAAAGTGCTGGGATTACGGGAGTGAGCCACTGCACCCAACTGAGAGAAGATTTTCTATTGGTGTTCCCCAAAAGGAAGTGAGCTCCCCATCATGGGAGGCATTCCAGTCAGTTTCAATACACTTGCGTTGAAATTCAACATCTGGACTCTGGATTCCAGACAAGTTTCTTCCCTTCCCAGCTGAGTGCCCTTAAGCTGGTGATGAAATCCCCTTGCACCTCAGGTTCCTCATTTGCAAACCGGTATGACCTCCCAGGGTGTGGCGAGAGGCGGACCGGGTGCTTGCAAAGCGCTTTGCAGAGACTGGGACAAGAATGAACGTGAAGCGTGTCGCTGTAATTATGCAATTCAGTCACGATTCACCGGCTGTCGCTGAAATACCCACTTCTTCCACTGCCAGGACCACCAGGGCCCACCCAGCCCGCCAGCCCCAGGTGAACTCACCCACGTCCCCGGCGTGGCAGGCTCAGCTCCTTCTGCAATGAGACAGAAATGGGGATCAATCTCAGCGAGACAAGCCCTCAGAACCCCTGGCCCTTGGCGCACCCCCACAACCTCCAATCCCCTGCCCCAACCAATGCGTCCTTCTGCTCACTCTATACACTGGGCTGAGCCCTGCCTCAGGGCCTTTGCACTAGCTGTGCACTCTCTCGACATGGCCTTCTCTCCCTGCCAGCCCTAAATAACTGCGGCGCATACCCCGGGTCTGAAGTCAACATCCCTTCTTCCTGGAGGCCCTCCAGAGTCACCGTCTAATTCCCCACCCAGATCCTACCACACCTGCATTAAAAATTATTTTAGCTGGGCACCACCGGTGTTTCACACCTGTGATCTCAGTACTTTGGGAGGCCAAAGCGGGAGGGTTGCTTGAGGCTGGAAGTTTGAGCTCAACTGGGCAACACAGCGAGACTCCATCTCTCTAAAAAAATTTTACAAAATTTCCAGACTAGGCTGGGTGCAGTGGCTCATGCCTGTAATTCTGTCACTTTGGGAGGCCAAGGCGATGGATTACTTGAGTTCAGGAGTTTGAAACTAGCCTGGGCAACATGGTAAAAACCTGTCTCTACAACGAATACAACAAAAAGTGTAGCCGGGCATGGCGGCTCGAGCCTGTACTCCCAGCTTGCGGGGGGCTGAGGTGGGAGGATTGCTTGAGCTCAGGAGGCAGAGGTTGCAGTGAGCCAAGATCAAAGATCAAACCACTGAACTCCAGCCTGGGTGACAGAGTGAGACCCTGTCTCAAAAATAAGGCCAGGAGTCGTGGCTCACGCCTGTAATCCCAGCACTGTGGGAGGCCGAGGTAGGTGGATAACTTGAGGTCAGGAGTTCGAGACCAGCCTGGCCAACATGGTGAAACCCTGTCTCTACAAAAAATACAAAAATTAGCCGGGTGGTGGTGGGTGCCCCACACCTAATTTTTTGTTTGTTTGTTTGTTTGTTTAGACAGAATCTCACTCTGTTGCCAGGCTGGAGTGCAGTGGCACGATCTTGGCTCACTACAACCTCTACCTCCTGGGTTCAAGCAATTCTCATGCCTCAGCCTTCCCAGCAGCTGGGACTACAGGTGCACACCACCATGCCCAGCTAATTTTTGTATTTTTAGTAGAAACAAGGTTTCACCGTGTTGGCCAGGATGGTCTCGAACTCCTGACCTCATGATCTGCTTGCCTCAGCCTCCCAAAGTGCTGGAATTATAGGCATAAACCACTGCGCCAGGCCAATTTTTTGTATTTTTAGTAGAGACAGGGTTTCACCATGGGGGCGCATGCCTGTAATCCCAGCTACTCGGGAGACTGAGGTGAGATGATTGCTTGAGCCCAGGAGTCGGAGGTAAGTGAACCGTGATGACACCATTGCATTCTAGCCTGGGTGACAGAGCAAGACCTCATCTCTAAAAAAAATAATAATTTTATTTAAAATTACAAATTAGTTGTATTTATGAAGAAGTATGTCAGTAGTGGCTAAAAACTAGTCATCTGTTGAGAAAGCAGAGATTACTGAGTTGTCCTCCTCCTGGCCCGTCTCAGAGGTCCCTCTCCTCCTGGGTCTCCTCACCCACTGCAGAGTTTATGCAGCTTTGGGCCCTGGGCACTCATGGGGGCACGGGGAAGACGGCTGATGGATGGACCCTTTTAGAGCTCAGCAAGCCAACCTGTATCAATTTTGTGTAGCCTCACCACATGCAGGATAGAGTCCTGAGCTTGTGTTCCACTGTGACCCCATAGTCCATCCTCAGACATAGCCTGCCCAAAAAGGTTTTTTATTTTTTGAGACAGAGTCTCACCCAGGCTGGAGTATAGTGGTTCGATCTCAGCTCACTGCAACCTCTGTCTCCCGGGTTCAAGCTATTCTTCGGCCTCAGTCTCCCAAGTAGCTGAGACTACAGGCATATGTCACCACACCTGGCTAATTTTTTTTTTTTTTTAGACGGAGTTCTGCTCTTTTGCCCAGGCTGGAGTGGAATGATGCAATGTTGGCTCACTGCAACGTCTACCTCCTGGGTTCAAGTAATTCTCCTGCCTCAGCCTCCCGAGCAGCTGGGATTACAGGCACATGCTAATATACCTGGCTAATTTTTGTGTTTTTAGTAGAAACAGGGTTTTGCCATGTTGCCCAGGCTGGTCGTGAACTCCTGACCTCAGGTGATCCACCTGCCTTGGCCTCCCCAGATGCTCAGATTACAAGCGTGAGCTACCATGACCAGACAACCAAAATTTTGTGTGTGTGTGTGTGTGTGTGTGTGTGTGTGTGATGGAGTCTTGCTCTGTCGCCCAGGCTGGAGTGCAGTGGTACAATCTTGGCTCATTGAAACCTCTGCCTCCTGGGTTCAATCGATTCTCCTGACTCAGCCTCCCAAGTAGCTGGGGTTACAGGTGTGCACTAGTATGCCCATCTAATTTTTGTATATTTAGTAGAGACGAGGCTTCACCATGTTGCCCAGGCTGGCCTTGAACTCCTAACCTCAAGTGATCCACCTGCCTTAGCCCCCAAAGTACTGGAATTACAGGTGTGAGCCACCGAGCCTGGCCATTCAATAGGGTTTTTTAATTCTCAAAATGGCATGCGGTGCAAGTTCAGAACCTGGGAACACCCTGGTCTGGGTCCAGTTCTGTTTCTTCCCGGCCCTGTGCCTCAGTTTCCCATCTGTAATCTGGAGATGACATTGGGAGGGCTGGGGTTAATCATGATCCGCCATTACTATTCCTGCTGTTGTGTCCTGTTGTACTACTGTTGAGCTCAGCAAGGGCCTGTAATACTCGGTAAATGTCCTTGCATTTACTGAGCTGCCCACTACGAACCGCGGGCAGGGGCTGTTTCACTGGCAGAGAAACTTAGGCGCAGAGGAAAGCCGGCTGCCCACGTCTCTTGGTGGAGTGAGAGGCAGGAAACTGGGTCTCAGGACACCCTCCCTACACACACATCAGGGCGACCACGCTGGGGACACACGACTATTTTTGCTTTGGTGGGCTCCAGGCTGCCCACGTCCTGATCCGGGTGTTCGCCATGGCAACCAGTGACGCCATCGGCCCCCACAGCCAATTGAAGGGGGCCGGAAGCTGCTGGGCTGCCGGATGACCCAGCTGGGAGGGCAAGGTCTCCCGGGAGAGGCGGGAAAGGGTCGCCGGGGTGTGGCATCACCCCAGGCCTGACTTCAGCAGCTCTGCGCTCAGAAAACAGAACTGTCAGAATGGGAGGAGAAGGACCTGCTACTCCCAGCTCTCCCTGACTGCTTGAATATCTCCAAGGACAGACAAATCGCGACTTTTAGTTCAAGCAGTTATGGTGATGAAACTCTCGCCACCACCACTGTGGCCATGAGTGTCTCCTTCTGCCCCTTCCAATAGTTGGGGGAATTTTTTTTCTTTTTTTGAGACAGAGTCTCGCTCTGTCGCCCAGACTGGAGTGGAGTGGCACGATTTTGGCTCACTGCAACCTCCGCCTCCTGAGCAGCTGGGATTATAGGTATGTGCCATCACACCCGGCTAATTTTCAAAATTTTTGGTAGAGATGAGGTTTTACTATGTTGCCCAGGCTGGTCTTGAACTCCTGACCTCAAGTGATCCGCCTGCCTCGGCCTCCCAAAGTGCCGGGATTATAGGCATGAGCCACTGCGCCCAGCCAGTTGTGGGATCTTATACCACTTCCTCCACTACCCCACGTGAAACAGGGAGGGATTTGAACCCTGGTGGTGGGGGGTCCTACTTGCACCCTATGCCCATTCCAGCCATTTCCTTCTAAAACTCTGACAGTTCTAGGCTCCCAGTCTGACTCCCCACTCCTGCACTGTGTGACCCAGACAAGTCACTAAAGCCCTCTGTGCCTCAGTTTCCTCGTTTGGAAAACGGTCCAGTGGCATAGGGTTCCTGATTAAGCTCAGGGCCTGGCCCTGGGGGAGACCTCCACGGGCCGGGGTCAAGACGACGATCAAGAGGTGAATAATAATCACCAGTTGAAAGCTGCTTCCAAAAAACAAAAAGAAAGATGTGAAGATTTTTTTGGTTTTGTTTTTTTGCGACAGAGACTCGTTCTGTTGCCCAGGCTGGAGTGCAATGGCGCAATCTCGGCTCACTGCAACCTCCACCTCCTGGGTTTAAGCGATTTTCCTGCCTCAGCCTCCCAAATGGCTAGGATTACAGGCGCCCACCACCACGCCCGACTAGTTTTGTATTTTTAGTAGAGACCGGGTTCCACCATGTTGGCCAGGCTGGTCTTGACCTCCTGACCTCAAGCAATCCTCCCACCTCAGCTTCCCAAAATGCTGGATTACAGGCGTGAGCCACTGTACCCAGTCTGAAGATGTTTAATTTTTTTTTAAGCGGCAGAGAGAGGTGAGACAAAGTCAGCAGCTCCCTGCAAAGGCTCTTGGGGAAGCTGGACCACTCGGCACTCTCCTGGCACCACTCCCGGACCCTTCGCTCCCCGCACCATCTGCTTCCGCCCACAGCCCCCCTCTGTGCCTGCTGTTCCCCAGGGAGTGGTTCCACCCAGATGAGTGGAGGCTGGGGAGGCCCCGACCCCCTGGAGCTGCCCTTTAAAGGTAATATTTATGGTATCCCCGGCTGGAGGATGCTGCCTCTCCCACAAGCTTTAGCCCCACCTTGAGGAAATCCCACTTTGGAGAAGACACAGCATGAACACCCCCATATGGGAGGGGTGAAGGGAAACCCAAAGCGGCCCAGTGTGGTGGCTCCTGCCTGTCATCCCAGCACTTTGGGAGGCTGAGGCAGGAGGATCACTTAAGATCAAGACTTCAAGGCCATCTTGGACAACATGGTGAAACACCATCTCTACTAAAAAAAAAAAATACAAAAATCAGTTGGCAGTGGTGGCGTGAGCCTGTAATCCAGCTACTCAGGAGGCTGAGGCAGGAGAATTGCTGTAACCCGAGTGATGGAGGCTGCAGTGAGCCCAGATTGCACCACTGCACTCCAGCCTGGGTGACAGGGCAAGATTCTGTCTTAAAAAGGTCAGGCGCAGTGGCTCACACCTGCAGTCCCAGCACTTTGGGAAGCCGAGGTGGGTCTATCACGAGGTCAGGAGCTCGAGACCAGCCTGGACAACACAGTGAAACCACGTCTCTTTAAAAAAAAAAAAAGGACCCGAAGGGAGAGAAGAGTTTGGAGGCACACAGAGAGGAGAGCTAAGGGGCTTCCTGGAGTAGGAGGTGTCAGACAAAGCCAGCAGGCACACAGAAAACACCAGTCCATGCCCAAGCAAACAGCACGTGCAAGGGGAGGTGGGACTCAGTCTGCTGGGAGGGCCAAGCCTCATGGGAAGCTTGGTGTCCCTGGAGTGAAATGGGAGGAAAGTCAGCATGGACCACATCGCACCTGGATGAGGAGGAGGAGGAAAATAAGTGGAACCTGGCCATGAGAAAGCAGGATCTCCTTTGAGGACCGAACCTAGGGAAGCGGCAGAGATACTAGTCCAATACTCCAGATACTAGTCCAAGCTCTAGTCATCTTCTCTGCCGGGGGGATGCTCTCTTGTGGGATCTGATGTTTTGAAATTCGGCCGTGTTCAAAGCAAAGGTCCAAGTGGGAGATGTGAATGTTAAGATAATAGTAGGCCGGGCATGGTGGCTCACGCCTGTAATCCCAGCACTTTGGGAGGCCAAGGTGGGTGGATCACCTGAGGTCAGGAGTTCAAGACCAGCCTGGCCAACATGGTGAAACCCCGTCTCTAATAAAAAAAGAAAGAAAGAAAGAAAGAAAGAAAAAAGATAATAGTAGTATTAATAATCGTTCACGTTACCCAGTGCCTGCTCACGCTAGGCATGAGGCTGAGTTTAACCCAAACTGGAAAGGTCCCCATCTCCTCCCTGGACCCAGGGCGGTCACAAACTGGTGGCCCGCGGGCCAGGCCGGATCCTTTTTCAGACCTCTCCTGCACAGAGACACTGGCAAGCCTCCGATTGTCACCCCGGGAGAGGATGCCCTGGGCTATCAGTCTGAACTGGCCAGTCAGCACCGTTTATGAATGGACTCTTTGGCCTTTGGCCTCCAGGAAATCTGATTGGCTTTCACCAGCAGCCTGCCCCCGATTGGCTGGGGTGCTCCTGGACAATCTGATTGGCTTTCACCAGCAGCCTGCCCCCGATTGGCTGGGGTGCTCCTGGACCACTGACACTTTCCAGTGGAAGGAGACCCAAAACTGGGGCTGATGAGATTGGTTAGAAGTCCAGTTCTCTGGCTTCTGGCGGGTACTTCCCTCTTTGGGCCTCAGTTTCTTCCCCTGAAAAATGGAACTAATAATAGCACTGAGTACTCGGGCTGTTGGAGAATTGAACGCGTGAGAGGGCTTAGCCTGTTAATATGAATGAACGGTTATTACCACCTTACTGTTATTTTATTATTATTTAAATTTTCTCCCACGGGACGTTTATTTTTATTTTTGAGACAGGGTCTCATGATCATGGCTCACTGAAGCCTCAACTCCTGCACTCAAGAGATCCTTCTTGGCTGGGCACGGTGGCTCACACCTGTAATTCCAGCACTTTGGGAGGCTGAGGTGGGCGGATCACCTGAAGTCAGGACTTTGAGACCAGCCTGGCCAACACGGTGAAACTCCATCTCTACTAAAAATACAAAAATTAGCTGGGCAGCTACTTGGGAGGCTGAGGCAGGAGAATCACTTGAACCTGGGAGGCAGAGGTTGTAGTGAGCCAAGATGGCACCACTGCACTCCAGCCTGGGTGCCAGAGCAAGACTCCATCTCAAAAAAAAAAAAAAAGATTTTTCTGCCTCAGCCCCCTGAGTTGCTGGGACTACATGAGCCAGCACGTCTAGTACACTTAAGACTTTCATTCCATGCTCCTTCCTGGCTTCCTGCCCTTTTTGACCCGCCCCTCCATCCCGCCCCTCCAGAGGAGTCTTTCCAGCCCCTCAATATGGGCATGTCCTCTCCTGCTCCAGCACCTTCCATAGCTCCCCATTTCCCTAGGAGGAAAGTCTAACCCTTTCAAAATCAGCACCGAAGACCCTGGAAGCAGTAAGTCCTGGCCATCAGCCTCTAGTGCTAAAAACTAGGTTCAAGTCTAGTTTCCCAATGTAATAGGGAGGGAAGGCTACATGCCTCTGGGCCTTTGCCTGCACTGTGGCCTCTGCCCGGAATGCCTTCGTTCAGTCGGGCAATCGGTGCTCACCCTCCACCTCCGTGGATGGACGCCTGCGCTCCGTTGGTCGGGAGAGGAAGCTGGAACCGTCTGGGTTCAAATCCTGCCTGACTCTGTCACCTACACTCTGGGAGACACGGACCATGGCTATGCTTCTCTAAACCTCAGTTTCCCTTTTGGTAACATAGAACTCATCATCAGGAAATGTTTGACCCCCCTGATGGAACCGGCCCCACTTCCTGACGTCAGCAGCACCCCCATTCGCCTACCCGGAGGCGGTTTCTCTATTTTAAGAGGCCGCGGGCGGGTTGGCATCTAACTGGGGCTGGAGGCGGGGCTGCCCCCCCCAACACCACGCTGCTCGCCAATCCCGCCCCGCCCCCTCCTCTCCGCCCAAGTCCCCCATTCCTGCCTCTGGCCTCGGCGCCTCCAGTTCTGCCCCACCCCCTCCAGAGACGGGGTGTCTGTGACCTGCAGCTCAGCCCGTGCCTTCCCTGACCACCCCAGACCTAGCTTTCCACCACCCGCTGAGTTCGCAGTCCCGCAGGTGATGGGCTCCGCGCGGCTCCAGGTTGGAGACCCGCCTGCCCCATCCCCCTCACTCCCTCCACCTGCCCGGAGCTAACTTCAGTCCCCGACCCCCATCCCACCTGCGCAGTCCTCCCTAGGTTCTAGCTTGTCAACCTTTTTCATTTCCCTAAATACCGCGCCCGCTGCAATGCCCCGCCACCCTTGGCTGCCTCCTCTACCCCAGGGTTCCCAGCAACGCCTGGGTCAGGCGCCTCCTTCTCTTCCTCTGAGTCCCTTATCGCATCTGACCACTCCGTGGGGTCACCGCTGCTCCCAGCAGGTTGGGGTTTCCAGGAGGGCGGCTTCAGAGGTTGCAGAGCACTCTGCTGCCTCTCCAGAGCCGGGCACACAGCAGGCGCTCCATAAATGTTCATTGGGGAAATACTAAATCCCAGGTTCCCTACCTGAGAACTTGGTCGCTAAGTCCCAGAGGGGAATGGCCAAATCTTAATTCCCATTTTTGATTTCTTATGATGGGGAAACTGAAGCCCAGAGAGGTCGAAGGGTGGCTGTCCGCGGTCCTGTAGCCTGTGTAGCTTCAAACAGGCTTCTGCTGTCCCCGATGCCTGTGTCCCTACCTCCTGGTGACACAGCCTCCCCCAAACACAAACTCGGTAAAAAGAGGACCCCATGGCCCGTTGGAAAACTGAGGCCCGCGGAAGCAAGGGCGCCCTCCCCACAGGACACACTGCTAGTTGGCAGCACCTTGTGCCCCAGGGGAGCTGGTTAAGAGCGCAGGATCGAATCCCAGCTGGGCGACCTCTGGAGAATGGCTTGCAGGGACTACAGCCTCAGTTTCCTTATTCTGACAAATGGGCGCCTGACAGCCCCACCCCCCCAGGTCGTCGTAGGGGTGAGCTGAGGGGGTGTTGTGGGACAGCGACGACCCGAGGTATTAATACATATGAACTAATACTAATACATCACTAGGAATAGGATTATTATGAACATATGGTGAGCTCTATGGCTGCTGCTGCTAGCATTATTATTAAACAGCTGGTGGGGAGGGGCAGAGCCCTCAGCCTCTTCCTCCCACGCAATCTCTTGCAGCCTCAGTTTCCCTAGGTGTCCAAGGGGGACACCTTCCCCCTTCCCACCAGGAGAAAAGCACTTTGAGAAGCTGGTGGTCAAAGAGAAGCGATCTGAGCGTTCCCCGCCCTCTGCCTCAGTTTCCCTACAGCCAGCGAAGGCCCCGCCCTCTCCGCACCTTTCAGGCTGCGTCCACTTGGCCGCGCCCTCTGCCGCCCGCCCGCCCGCGCAGGGGCCTCACCTGGAGCCCGCGGCGCCGCAGGAGGCTCGACTCGTCCATGGCCCGGGAGTCCTCGCCGCCAGGCCCGCCCCCGGCCCCGCCCCGGCCTGCCAGGCCCCGCCGCCGGGTGCCATTGGCCAGACTGGTCAGCTGACGCTGCCTGGCCCCGCCCCTCCTGGGGAGCCAGACCATAAGGGCCCGCCCCCATCGGGCGAGCTGGCCCTGCCCCTCCTGCGGAGCACACAAGCAAATATTTTGCACGAATCCTCTCAGAAGTAACGGAGCATCATTCAGCCCCATTTTGCAGATGAAGAAACTGAGGCTCAGAGACGTTAATCAGTGTGCCCAGCGCATTGGCCGGGCGCAGTGGCTCACGCCTGTAATCCCAGCACTTTGGGAGGCTGAGGTGGGCAGATCACTTGAGGTTAGGAGTTCGAGACCAGTCCGGCCAGTCTGGCCAATAAGGTGAAACCCCATCTCTACATTAAAAAAAAAAAAAAAAAAAAACTTAGCTGGCGGTGGTGGCGCACACTTGTAATCCCAGTTACTCAAGGAGACTGAGACAGGATAATCGCTTGAACCTGGGAGACGGAGGTTACAGTGAGCCGGGATCGCTGGGCTGTGCTCCAGCCTGAGCAACAGAGGGAGACTCTGTCTCAAAACAAACAAACAAACAAACAAACAAACAAACAAAAAAGCCACACACGCAAAACAGCAACAACAAATGTGCCCAGTACACACAGCAGAACTGGTTCTAGGGTGAGGGGAGTGAGGATCTCACCCTTGCGGTAAGGTTAAGGGGGCCCCAAAAAACTCAGCCATCAAGAGAAATAATATTTTAAAAACTCAGAAATAATGAAAACATTTATGAGCAAAACATCAAAACTTTTATTTTTTATATTTAGAGATAGGAGGAGGTCTCACTATGTTACCCAGGCTGGTCTTGAACTCCTGGCCTCAAATGACCCTTCCTCCTAGGCTTTCCAAAGTGTTGGGATTACAGGTGTGAGTCACCAAGTATGGCCAAAACACCAAAACTTTTTTTTTTTTTGAGACAGAGTTTCATTCTTGTCACCCAGGGTGGAGTGCAGTGGCACAATCTCAGCTCGCTGCAACCTTTGCCTCCTGGGTTCAAGTGATTCTCCTGCCTCAGCCTCCCGAGTAGCTGGGACTACAGGGACACACCACCATGCCTGGATAATTTTTGTATTTTCAGTAGATATGGGGCTTTACCATGTTGGCCAGGCTGGTCTCAAACTCCCGACCTTAAATAATCTGCCCATCTCGGCCTCCCAAAGTGCTGGGATTACAGATTACAGGCATGAGCCACCTCGTCCAGCCTCAAAACTTTTTTTTTTTAAAATTTCTGAGACGAGTCTTGTTGTGTCACCCAGACTACAGTGCAGTGGCATGATCTCTGCAATCCCTGCCTCCTGGTTTGAGCTATTCTTGTGCCTCAGCCTCCCTAGTAGCTGGGACAACAGGTGCCCACCACCACACCAGGCTAATTTTTTATATTTTTAGTAGAGATGGAGGTCTCACCATGTTGGCCAGGCAGGTCTTGAACTCCTGACCTCAGGTGATCCGCCCACCTTGGCCTCCCAAAGTGCTGGAACAAAACACTAAAACTCTTAAGACATAATCAGACCTTTGTCCTTGCACCATCAGCCTCATTTGTCTCCCTTTAATTCTGGCCCTGGTGCCAATAAAACTTTATTATAAAAACAGGTAGCCACTGCAGTTGTCAGTTTCTTTGTTGAGGATGATTGCCTTTCTGCCCTAAGTGTCTCATAAGCACCACCTCTCACAGATATTTGAAGATAACGGTTACACTCCATTTTGCAGAAGGGGAAACTGAGGCTGAGAAAAGCCCCAAGTCTTAAAACGGCACCCACATTAAAAAATAATTTTTTTTTTTTTTTGGGGGACAGGGTCTCATTCAGTCACCCAGGCTGGAGTGCAGTGGTGCAATCTCAGCTCACCATAGCCTCCGTCTCCCAGGCTCAAGTGATCCTCCCACATCAGGCCTCATACCAGAG